ACGCACGCACGCACGCACGCACGCGTGCACGCACGCACACACACATACACACACACACACACACACGCACACACGCACACACACACATACGCACCAACGCACACGCTCACCCAAACGCAAACGCACACGCACACACACACACATACGCACACACCCACGCACCCACATACACACACACACACACGCACACACACACGCACACATACACGCACACGCGCACACGTACAAACACATGCACACGCACACGCACACGCACACGCACACGCACACGCACACGCACAAGCACACGCACACGCACACACACACACACACACACCTACACACACCTACACACACACGCACGCACGCACGCACGCACGCACGCACGCACGCACGCACGCACGCACGCACGCACGCACGCACGCACGCACGCACGCACGCACGCACGCCCGCGCGCACGCACGCACGCACGCACGCACGCACGCACGCACGCACGCACACACACACACACACACACACACACACACACACGCACACGCACACACACACAAACACACACACACACGCACACGCACAAGCACACGCACACGCACACGCACACGAACACGAACACGCACACGCACACGCACACACACAAACACACAAACACGCACGCACGCACGCACGCACGCACGCACTCTCTCTCACACACACATACACACACGCACGCACGCACGCACGCACACACACGCACGCACACACGCACGCACGCACGCACACACACACACACTGTGGAAAACACGCGGTGGAAAAAAAACAGTCTGGGGAATTAAAACACACATAGTGTTTTTGTCCACGGACTGCTTGTGGACAAAAACAGACTCAGTGTTTTTATTCCACAGGCTGTGGGTGTGGTTTCATTGAGCGTGTGTTGTTGTTCCACATATTGTTTTTTGTTCCACAGACTCTGTGTTTTTCAAGTGTGTGTGTGTGCGTGTTTCCAATTTCCACATACCTAGGGGCGCGTTTGCCGTTGAGTTATGAGTTTCCGGAGGTGCCAAAAAGCGTCTGTAAGCCCTCAGGGGCTATCAGGGGGCAAGAAGCTTCCGTGGCGCACCCGGCGGCAGGCCAACATCTTGTCTGCCGCGACATGACTGCAGGTTACGCAGGGCACAAGCGCGGCACATCTCGCGGGAAGAAGGGCGGCGCTGACGCGTGTAACTTGCGCGCGAATGCCCACGCAGCGGGCCCAACTCTCATTCGGATGGGCCCTTGTCTCGAATAGAATACGTGTTGTTCCTGCTCCCTCCCACCTCCTGCCATCCTGCATCACTAGTTTCTTTCCTATTGCCTCTTTCTCCCTGATTCTCTCTCTCGCTGTCTCTCTCTCTCTCTCTCGTTTTCCCTCTCCGTCTCCCTCTCTGCCTCGCTCTCTCTCTCTCTCTCTCTCTTTCTCTCATTTTCCTCTCTCTCTCTCTATATATATACATATACATATATATATATATATATATATATATATAAAATCTCTCTCTCTCTCTCCCTCTCTCCCTCCAAACTGCCCGCTCCCTCCCCTCTTCCTCGCCTCATCTTCGCCTCCCCTTCCACCGCCCTCTATTGGTGCTGCCAACTGCGCGGCGGTCTCCTTCGTGAGCTCCCACAGGGCTCAGGGCGCCATCCAGCCCTCCGGGGGTTTCCAGACGAAGCCTCGGCATCCTCCGGGTGCTGCCGGCAACGCACCTGCCGCCGCTCGCGTGGAGCTCCCAAGAGGTCGCGCAGAGTGCTGCATTACCCAGAATCCCGAGCGAGAACTCGTCCTCCCCCCGTGCTGCCCAATGGGCGACGGAAAGAAACGAGTCTTACGCGGAATGGCATGGCGACCTACGCGGTGGCTTATGCGGGCAGCCAGCGCGGTAAGCCACACCAGAAACGAAGGCGCTTACGCGCGACCTCACGCGGGCAACTTACGCGCCAGCGTCGGTGAAGCCGACCCCGTTTCTTTGGCCGGGTCTTGCCCGACGTGCAACCGTCACACCTTAG